TGATCTGTCGAGCGAGTACTCTTACAGCGAGTCCGAGTGTGATGATGATGACACATCGGCGGAGAAGATGATGAAGATCGATCGTGGCACCGCTGCTGGCTCGTCTGCTGGCTCGGCGGTCGGCCCGAATCTGAACAAGACGCTCGGTGATATCTGCAGCCTCGAGGCTGTCTTCAAAAAGCTCCAGGAGCTTCAGCGCTGGGGGTTCGGCGCACTCGAAACGTCGTTTCCTTCCGCTGCGATCGGGATCCCCCTTCCTCCTCACCCTTCTCCCCCTCTTCCCCCGTCTCCCTCCACCTCCTTCTCGGGGGGGCGATCAGGCGGAGGAGGAAAAGGAGGGAGGAGTAGGGAAAGGTGGTGGAGAAGGAGGGACGAGGAGGAGGATCGAGGACCGTACCTCACATGATTCTTCTCCTGCGCTGGCCATCGCAGGAGAAGAATGACGCCTGGTACCAGCCCTTCGCGGGCAAGGTGAACGAGAAGCTCGACGCCCTGGACGAGCTCAGGGTCGATGTGATCGCTCGCATCGACGGGTCAGCCCCAGCCGAGCCGTGAGGTGCCCATATAAGTCCTGCGGAACCTTGAGGTGCCATGCAAGCCGAGCCTTGAGGTGCCCATATAGATCTTGCGGAGCCGTGAGGTGCCAGTGCCATCTCAGTGCACTGGCACCTCAAGGCCCCGCAGGATTTATATGGTCACCTCAAGGCTCGGCTTGCACTGAGATGGTCACCATCATAATCACCATCACCATCACCATCACCATCATCACCATCATCATCACCATCGCCATCGTCGTCACCACCACCACCATCATCATCATCATCATCATCCTCCTCATCATCACCATCACCATGACCATAGTCATCATCATCATCGTTATCATCGTCATCATCATCATCATCGTCATCAGCATCATCATCATCGTCATCATCATCACAATCGTCATCGTCATCATCGTCATCATCAGCATCATCGTCATCACCATCAGCATTATCATCAGCATCATCATCATCATCGTCATCATCATCATCGTCATCATCATCATCATCGTCATCACCATCATCAAAATCATAACCATAATCATAACCATCATCGTCATCATCATCATCATCATCATCATCATCAGCATCATCATCATCATCATCATCAGCATCGTGGCCCTCATTCGAGCCCTTGTGGACGCGCCCGCAGTGCAGCAGCAATGAACATCCATGTCAATCTCGGCCTGGATCATCATCATCATCATCATCAGCAGCATCGTCATCGTGGCCCTCCTTGGGTTTCCTGGGAATTCCTGGCCCGTCAAAAAAAATGCCTGTCGGCGTCTCCGAGGGGGCGGCGAAAAACTGGCCGAGGGTCAGTTGTTTGACCGTCTTCCTCCCGCAAGCCCAGGTCTGTCACGGAGGCGACCCTGAGCCACGAGGACATCAACAAGGAGCTGCAGGAGGCAGCGCCTGGATCGATGAACGATGAGGGTCGGAGGGAATGTGAGGAAGGGGAGTGGGGGGGGGGGATGGGTCTGACTAGCTTCTTCCCTCCTCCTCCCACCTCCTCGTGTTCATGGGGGCCACCCCTCTCCGTCTGAGGAGGCGGGCGGCCTCGATGAACACGCCCCGCCGCCCCGCCCATAGGCCGTCAGCCTGTGGGACATGATGCGGCCCGTGCGCGAGAGCATCCAGAAGGCCTGCTCTTCGCTGGCCATCAAGGACGAGGATCTGTAGATAGCTACTGACGTGGCCAACATGCTATTTGATTGTGTTCACATCCTGGGAGTTCCTGGGAGTTCCTGGCCCCGAAAATCCAAAAACTAGTCCTTGGATTCTCTGGCCTACGTACATGTATATATAGGTATATATATATATACACACACAGATATATGGGCGCCCTTGGCCACGTCAGCCTCTCCCGCGGCCGCAGCGCCCCCTTCGAACCTGGACGTCGCACAGCAACCCAGACATGGCGATGTCCTATTCGTTTTTTTTTTTTTCCAGAACGCGGTCCCCAGAAATCCCGACGCTTTCCCCAGGGCAGTTTTTTTCATCCTGAATCGGCGAGGGGCCCCACAGGCCGCAAATAGCTAAAAAATCCGCCATGCGTTTTTCAAGACGTCGCACGTCTGGAAATCCGATCTCTGGACATCTGCGGGCCTGCGCGGTACGATCGAGGAGGGGGCGACGAGGAGGGGGGGGCGGGGCGGGGAGGGGAGGGCGGGGGGGGAGGAGTACGAGACCTCGGGGAGAGGGGAAACCTAGGACCTGCGCGAAGGTAATCGCGCTGATCGCGGTCTGGGCTGGAGAGCTGCCCCTCTCCAGGGCACGGCGCGACGGCGCCGAGATAATCGAGCTTCGCGCGCGCTATATCCTCGGGCGCGATCTGCGCGACGAGCGGGTGCGTGTGATGTCCAGCGTCCTCTTGCTCGACTGGGGTGGGCCAGATCTCCCTTCGAACCTGGACGTCGCACAGATGCGGTACCCAGACATGGCGATGTCCTAGAACGCGGTCCCCAGAAATCACGACGCTGTCCCCAGGACAAGTTTTTCATCCTGAGTCGTTTTTGTTACGGTCCCTGAGCCCAGAGGCCGAAATTAACGAGAAAAACTCAGTCCTGAGTTTTTCAGGACGTCGCATGTCTGGAATTCCGATCTCTCGAATATTTGGACTTCTGCGGGCCAGCATCGGACGACCGAGGAGGGGGGGGCGAGGAGGGGGGGACGGGAGGGGGAGGGAAGGACGGGAGGGGAGGAGTACGAGGGGAAAGGACTTAGGTCACACGCAGGGGCGCGAAGGTAATCGCGCTCCGCTCGCGGTCTGGGTTGGAGAGCGGCCCCTCGCCAGGGCGCGGCGCGACGGCGCCAAGATAATCGCGCTTCGCTCGATATCGTGGGGCGCGATCTGCGCGACGAGCGGGAGGATGCGTGTGATGTCCAGCGTCCTCTTGCTCGACTGGGATGGTCGGCCACGCTGCAAGTTGAAAGCAGTTTCGCTTTGGCTTCGAAGCAGCGCTCGAAGATCTGGATCGACAGGCGCGCGCGGGTAAAGAGAGCGGAGCGCCCGCGGGGTGAGGTATCTGGCAGGTGTCCGTGTGCTTGACCTCTCTGTAGGATGAGGCAGGGGTCAGTATGCTTGACCACTATCTGTAGGATGAGGCAGGTGTCAGTATGCTTGACCACTCTCTGTAGAATGAGTCGATCTCTTTTCCCCTCAGTCCCGTTCCCCGCCCCTGGTGTCAGTATGCTTGACCATTGGTGGCAAGTGTCACGCAGCTCGACCATCCTTGAGATATGAGTTCGGTGCAGTGTGCTTGTGTGCTTGACCATCCGTGGCAGGTGTCAGTATGCTTGGCAATCCTTGAGATATGAGTTCGGTGGCAGGTGTCAGAATGCTTGACCATCGGTGGCTGGCTGGTGTCAGTGTGCTGGACAATCCTTGAGATATGAGTTCGGCAGGTGTCAGTATGCTTGACCATCGGTGGCTTGAGATATGAGTTCGGTGGCAGGTGTCAGAATGCCACCAGGGCGCCCTCATCCTCTTCCCCACTCCAGATCCCTCTCCCATAACCCCCGCCCGTCCTTTGCCCCCTTCCACCCTTCCCCCTCCACGCCGCGGAAGGGCGAATGGGCAGGGCAGGGAAGATGTCAGGCTCCAGGTCTGAAATGTGTGGAGCCTTTCTTCATCGAGTTGTCAGCGCGCACCTTTCGATTTAATCGTGTGACTGCGCCCTTGGAGCACATGTCGGGGAGAGCCGCCGCTGCTGCTACCATTGCTGCATCATCGTCGATTGGAGGGGCTGGCGGAGGGCCGTCGAGAGCGACTGTCGCACCACAGGCTGGCCAAGCTAGATCGAGCACATATCTTCCTAGGGCATCAGATGAGGCATTGGACTCAGGCGCTGGACTTCGGAAATACCTCCTGCACGAATGGAAGATAGGGGCCCTGACGGCTAAACAGGTGTGCGTTACATCGTATTGGTCGACGCGTGGTGGCGCAGTTGGCGTAGCAGATCTGGCCCTTCACCCTGATAGTACACACTTCGCGGGCCACCTTAAGAACGTCTTGGACCTGAATGCAGCAAAACGCTTGTACTATGCTGCTATACCCCTCTGGGATAAAGACACAGAGACGCGTGTCATCCGTTCACACCCGTTCTACCTACCACACGAGCACTTCGCAGCCAGTGCGGCTGCCAACCCTGGACAATGGAACATTGCAGGTTTCGACCCCGCTAACATTCCTGAATCGCTGTACCGACACCCCGTCTACGCCACCCACGGGGCTAAGACGGTGCCCTTGGGGTACTACAGCGACGGCGTCCCTTACACCAAGCACGACACGTTTATCTGCGTGTACATGAGCAACGGCCTCACCCAGACGAGAACGTTGCTTACAGTACTTAAGAAAAGTGAAATGTGCCAATGTGGTTGCCACGGGTTCTGCTCGTGGGGTCACATGCAGCGGGTGTTGGTGTGGTCCTTTAACTGTCTAGCGAAAGGGAAATACCCTGCCACCGACCATCTTGATCAACCTTTTCGTTTTGGCGATGATCGAGCCCTTTACCGCGACTTCGACTTGTATGACGGGTTCGCGGGGGCAGTGGTTGAGTTTCGCGCAGACTTACTCGAACTTACTGGGGTGACAGGCGTCAAAACGTGGAAAAACCCGCTAAATCCATGCATGTGCTGTTCCAGCACGAGGCCACCTGGTTCACAACAGCTTTGGGGGGAGCGGACACAGCGTTCGAGAACGCATTCCATGCAACTTCCTTGCGTCGGGTGCGTGCCCGCGCATGTACGGGCAGTGGCATTGAAAGGTTTCCGAATGCTGTCTGCTCGCCTTTTCGCTGTTGTTTACCGTGTCCCCAGGGATTCTCTTTTCGATTTCCCTTCGACAGTGCGGCGGTGTCAATGGATCAAGAGGGACGCCGTGGCCTACCAGACCATGGTACGCAGGAGTGTGGTGACCCGTCGGTTGAACAGCAAAGCAGACCTTAAGCTTCTCAAGAGGTACATGGAGTTTAGTGACGAGTTTGGAGGCTACGCCACCAAGGACTTCTGCCCGCACTTTAATCTCAGACGCGGCTTCCGGCTGCTCGAGAAGGGACAAGTGCGGGACACGCACGACTTAGAATCCCTCAGCTACCCCTTGGACCTGTACTTTTTCGACGCCATGAACCACGTGGGTTTGAACCTGCTCTGTCCTCTCATGGACATCGTCGGCTTTGATGTTGGCAGCGTGCACCTGGACAGTATGCACATATTAGACCTTGGCGTGTGCCAGTACTTAGCAGGCCCTGGGCGTGAAACTGAAACTAACATACACCATGTGGGGTTCAACACACCGCGCACGCAAGGAACCCAAGAGGTTGAACAGCAACACACAAAACCCGCTGGATGTGTATTTGTTCAGTTCCACGCCCAGAAAGGCGAAGTGCTGCGGGTCTTGGTGCTGAACAATCACTGCGGTAGCACAAAGCGTCTCAGGGATTACAGGGTGAAGGACAACGTCCAAGCACTGAACCGTAGGCTGCGCTCGTACTACAAAGACTCGGGTGGCAAGGAGAAAGGCACTAGATCTCATATAGGCAAGCTGACCTTTGATATGCTGACGAAAGACGTCACGTTTCCAGCACGCCTTCGATCTAAGGCTGCAGAATGCCGTAAGTTGCTTCCCTTGTTAGACAATCTGTGCTCTGAGTTCCCTCAGAAGCTAGGGCCCCGCCACAACCTTCTCTCGGCTGCAGTTAAGGACATGTGTGTCATCTATGATACGATGGCCAAAGAGCCTCGGCAGATGTCCGCACAGGGCCTGGGCACCCTACAGCAGAGGATGTGCCACTTTCTCTGGGCTTGGAAAGCGTACGGCGGCCACTTAGTCTACAAGCATCACGCGGCGTACCACGTCGCAGAGCTCGCTGGCCAGAACGGCAATCCCAGGCACTATTGGTGCTATTGGGACGAGCAAGTCAACCGTGTGATGCAGAGTGTTGCCAGGTCGTTGCATGCAGGAACAACGTTCTACACTGCATTCCTGCGCAAAGTCCTGATGGACGTGCTCTAGCTGGCCAGCCTAATTCGCCATATCATCATCATCATCATCATCATCATCATCATCAGCATCATCATCATCATCATCACCATCACCAACACCATCACCACCATCATTATCCAACATGGCGAATTAATGTTTCACTTGTCTCACCACGTTTCACCATGTATCACCATGTTTCACTTTGTCTCACCATGTGATCACCAACGCAGGAGCCGGCGGCAGGACAAGGGCGCCCGCGCGCGGAGGAGGAGGGAGGAGGGAGGAGGAGGGAGGAGGGAGGAGGAAGGAAAGAGAGCTCCCCTCCCTCCCCCTCCCACCCACCACCATTCATGATGATGGTGATCTGCGTCATCCATGATCCTTCCCCCCCTCCCCCCTCCCTCCTTCCCTCCCTCCCCTCGCGGTGTTTTCCTCTTTGTTGGTTTTGGGATCCGCATTTCTCGGCCCAGGGACCGTGAAAAATCGCACCCAGGGGCCGAAAAAAACGCACCCCTCCCTCCCTCCTCCCTCCCCCTGGCATACCCAGGCGTTTTTTTTATTTCCTCTGGGCCGTGTTTGGGTCCAAGGGAGGGATTTTTGGGCCCAAGGACACTGAAAAACCGCACCCAGGGGCCGCTTGCAGAAAAAGTCTGGGCATGCCAAGGGCGCGCGGTGCGGGTCGGGGGTCGTCGTCGTCGTCGGGGGGGTTGCGGCCCTCCTCCCTCGCCACCCTCTGCAGTTGTTTGCCTCTGGGCCGTTTTGGGGTCTAGGGGATTGTTTCTGGGCCCAGGGACCGTCGTGAAAAATATACGTGTTCCACGGACCGCTAGAAGGACGAGTTCGCCTTCCTCCTGCTACACTAGTTATGCTAATGTTCGTATTCCCCCGCACTCCCGTGGTAGCGGAGATTTGCGTTTTCTCTTTCTATACATATATGTGTGTCTGCTCATATGTAGTTGTATGTACATGTGTGTGTCTAGGTGTATACACATATACATACACATGTGTAAATATATACATATATATATACATATATATATATATATATATATATACATATATACATATATATATATATATATATATATGTACCGCCTGTCCTGATGTTTTTGGTATGTTCTGATTTTGCTCGTATGTCCTGATTAATTTTCAGGACTTCGGTCGCAGTCCTGATTTTTTCAGGACCGTATCATGTCTGGGCTCTCTCTCTCTCTCTTTCTCTCTCTCTCTCTCTCTCTCTCTCTCTCTCTCTCTCTCTCTCTCTCTCTCTCTCTCTCTCTCTCTCTCTCTCTCTCTCTCTCTCTCTCTCTCTCTCTCTCTCTCTCTCTCTCTCTCTCTCTCTCTCTCGGAGCGCATCTTGGCTGGAGCTCACACATGGCACCCTCGAAGATTTGGCGGGTGGGGGAACGCGAGGGGGCGGGTCTGGCGCCCCCTCGCATTCCATTGTGCGCTACGGACTTCTCTGGTGCCCTTCGCCGGGCTGAGTGGGCAGCAGCGCCTGGAAGCGCCTGGGAGCTCCTTGGGGCGCTTGGGAGCGCCTGGGAGCGCCTGGGAGCGCTTGGGAGCGTTTGGGAACGCTTGGGAGCGCCTGGGAGCGCCTGGGAGCGCTTGGGAGCGCTTGGGAGCGCCTGGGAGCGCTTGGGAACGCTTGGGAACGCTTGGAGCGCTTGGCAGCGCTTGGCAGCGCTTGGCAGCGCTTGGCAGCGCCTGGGAGCGCCTGGGAGCGCCTGGGACCGCTTCTTGGGAGCGCTTGGGGGCGCTTGGGAGCGCCTGGGAGCGCTTGGGCGCGCTTGGGAGCGCCTGGGAGCGCCTGGCACCGCCTGGGAGCGCTTGGGGGCGCTTGGGAGCGCTTGGCAGCGCCTGGGAGCGCTTGAAAGCGCTTGGCAACGCCTGGGAACGCTTGGGAGCGCTTGGGAGCGTCTGGGACCGCGTGGGAGCGCTTGGGAGCGCTTGGGAGCGCCTGGAAGCGCTTGGGAGCGCTTGGGAACGCCTGGAGCTTGGGAGCGCCGGGGAACGCCCCCGGGCGCCAGGGAGCGCCCCGGAGCGCTTGGGAGCGCCTGGGAGCGCTTGGGAGCGCCGGCGCGGAGGGGGAGCGCGAGGGGGCGAGCTTGGCGCCCCTTCGCAAGCGTGGGAGCGCTTGGGAGCGCTTGGGAGCGCTTGGGAGCGCCTGGGGGCGCTTGGACGCGGTTGGGAGCGCTTGAGAACGCTAGGGTGCGCTTGGGATCGCGTGGGAGCGCCTGGGGGCGCGTGGGAGCGCCTGGGAGCGCCTGGGAGCGCTTGGGAGCGCTTGACAATGCCTGGGGGCGCCTGGGAGCGCTTGCGAGCGCTTTGCAGCGCCGAGGAGCGCCTGGGAACGCTTGGGAGCGCTTGGGGCGCCTGGCAGCGCCTGACAGCGCTTGGGAACGCCCAGGAGCGCTTGGGAGCGCTTGGAACCGCCTGGGAGCCATTGGGGATCCTGGGAGCGCTCGGGAGCGCTTGGGAACGCTTGGGAGCGCTGGGCAACGCTTGGGAGCGCATGGGAACGCTTGGGATCGCTTGGCAACGCTTGGGAGCGCCCGGGAGCGCTTGGGAGCGCTTCCCGCGCTTGGGAGCGCTTGGGAGCGCCTGGGAGCGCCTGGGAGCGCCTGCGGGCGCGTGGGGCGCCTGGGAGCGCCTGGGAGCGCCTGGGAGCGCTTGGGGAGCGCCCGGGAGCGCCTAGGAGCGCTTGGGAGCGCCTGGGAGCGCTTGGGAGCGCCTGTTTCGCTTTCGAAGTTCGGCGCGGAAGGGGAGCGCGAGGGGGCGGGCTTGGCGCCCCCTCGCAACTGCCAAGTGCCCCGAGGCGCTCGCAAGCTTGGGAGCGCTTCGGAGCGCTTGGCAGCGCTTGCGAGCGCTTGGGAGCGCCCGGACGCGCTCCCGGGCGCCGGGGGGCGCCTGGGAGCGCCTGGGAGCGCTTGGGACCGCCTGGGAGCGCTTGGGAGCGCTTGGGAGCGCCTGGGAGCGCTTGGGAGCGCTTGGCAGCGCTTGGGGGCGCTTCGGAGCGCTTGGGAGCTCCCGGGGAGCGCTTGTGAGCGCCTGGGGCCGCCTGGGCCGCCTGGGACTGCATGGGAGCGCCGGGGAGCGCGCCCGGGCGCCGGGGAGAGCTCCGGGGCGCTTGGGAGCGCTTGGGAGCGCTTGGGAACGCTTGGGAGCGCTTGGGAACGCTTGGGAGCGCCGGGGGGCGCCCCGGGCGCCGGGGAGCGCCCCGGAGCGCTCGGGAGCGCCTGGGAGCGCCTGGGAGCGCTTGGGAGCGCTTGGGAGCACGTGGGAACGCTTGGGAGCGCCTGGGAGCGCCGGGGAGCGCCTGGGAGCGCTTGGCAGCGCCTGGGAGCGCCTGGGAGCGCTTGGGAGCGCCTGGGAGCGCCTGGGAGCGCTTGGGAGCGCTTGGGAGCGCTTGGGAGCGCCTGGGAGCGCCTGGGAGCGCCTGGGAGCGCTTGGGAGCGCCTGGGAGCGCTCCCAAGTGAGGTTTATCCTTCCAGGGGCCAAGAGGGGGCCGCCCGAGCACAGGAGCGTAGGGTTCAGGGTTATCTCTGAGGCAGAAGCTCAGCGCGTGCGCCGGCCCGATAACGATCTGGGCGCTCGACTATCGCTCGCTTTCAAAGCGGACAAGGTTCGACATCGGTGCGCGACCCGTCGAGGGGTCGCGCATCAGTTTAGGGTTTAGGGTTTAGGGTTTAGGGTTTAGGGCTTCTCGGGCGCGCAGCGGCCGACAGTCCAGGCAATGCCGCCCCCCTTCGGCAAGCTTGATTGGGGGGGCGGTTCGCCGACCCGAGCAAGCTTGGCGAAGGGAGCAGGAGTTGCAACATCTCCCCACCCCCGGCCGCATGGCCGGCGACCTCCCAAACTAAAGCCTTTTAGGGTTTAGGGCCGTTGGCCCCTAAATTCCCAAATGTCTCTAAGCGCCCCCAGGCGCTCCCTGGCGCTCCCAAGCGCTCCCAGGCGCTCCCAGGCGCTCCCCGGCGCTCGCCGGCGCTGCCAGGCGCTCCCAGGCGCTCCCCGGCGCTGCCCGGCGCTCCCCGGCGCTCTCCCGGCGCTCCTTGGCGCTCCCAGGCGCTCCCCGGCGCTCCCAGGCGCTCCACGGTGCTCCCAGGCGTTCCCGGCGCTCCCAGGCGCTCCCCGGCGCTCTCCGGCGCTCCGAAGCGCTCCCAGGCGCTCCCAAGCGCCCCCGGCGCGCTCCCAGGCGCTCCCAGGCGCTCCCAGGCGCTCCCAGGCGCTCCCAGACGCCCCCAGGCGCCCCCAAGCGCTCCCAAGAGCGCCCAGAGGCGCGTAGAGCGGCCCACACGTGTTTTTTACGTGTCGGAGACATGTAGAGCGGAATCAGAGGACGAAAGGTCCCCGGGTTTAGGGTGTTGTATTCTTCGAGGATCAGGAAGAGTTTATCTTTGAATCGCGACTCCCAAGGGGCAGCCTACGGCTGCATGGGCGACCCAGTCTGGCAACCCGCTGAAGTATCTCAGAGATGCCCTGTCTCTCGTAGACGGCGACGGTGATGCGCGGTGGGGTGGGCAGAAGCACAACGAG